CATCTTCACAGGGACGTAAAACTGTTTCTATGCACCCAGAACTCTCCCAATGTACTCACGTATTTTTACGACATGATGTTATCAGAACACACTTACAGCCTCCCTACGATGCTGTAGTTAACGATGCTCCCTACGATGCTGCTCCCTTTCGCTGTAGTTAAATGTTCTAAAAAACTCATCACTCTGCAGCGACAAGGCAAAGAAATTTGTGTTTCCATCAATAGAGTCAAACCAGCATTCATGTTGTCTGACACAATAGAAAAAACACAAGAGGTTCCTGCTACCCAAACCACCCGCTCCGGTCGTCGAGTACATTTTCCACAAAGATACGTGTCAACCTGATTGTTGTAAGACTTCCTGTACCGGTTTTGAACACTGGGAGGGGGGGGGGTACTGTGGCGGCTGGCTCTGTAGCATTTCTTTGTATATATTTTGTATTTTATCTGGCAACACTACTGGTTCAGTTTCGAGCAGTTACTCCGAAGCTATGAACCACGGAGGGTCTTGCCATTCTCGAGATTAATAAATGTGTGTGTCTTATGTTATCCGCTGGTATTAACTTAAACACAAAAGACACTATAATTAACAGACCAAGTCACTACTATAAATGCATAACTCGTAAAATTTCATAGGTGACCTGTTTCACTGATAACGCCCAACCCGCACGATTGTGCGGGTACCGTCTACGTTCCAGGAGGGGAAAGGGAATTTTTTAATATTATTTTTCCCAATGTCATTGAGGTCCATATAGTATTAATAACCAAAAGAATTTAATATTTGAAGATAAAAATAATTCGGGTCTTAAAGGGATATAACTACTGAGATTTATCTCTTTAGGAATGTCATTTTTAAGACAGAGTATAAAAAAATTATGTATATTAATATATTTTAACATAATTCCTTTCTTTTTATCATCAATAAGCATTAACATTAAAAGAAACAATTTGAAAAGTTTATGTTTCACAACCTTAAGAATTCTACTGTCGTATCTATTTCGAAGTGAGTCAGTTATTAAAGTCGTACTCTAAAGCAACACGTGAGGTTTGACAACGGACTTTGTAATTTTGAACAGCAGTCAAGTGATGAGGACGACGCATGACGGCACCCCATTCTCCTAACTTCCATACTACGGCAACGTGAAGACTTAGATCTACGACAGATTTAACCTCTGCCAAGTCTATTTTTTGTCTCTCTTATTTCAGCCCCTCTGCACTTTAGGGTTCGAACCCCGACCCGACAACATCGCCCACGAGTTCATGACCATGGTCACTAAACTATCTCGGCTACGTATCTGTACAAAAAAAAGGAATGAATTAAAATAACATTAATGACAGTAAAAAAACCAAAAAACCTTCTATGTTTATCTGACACTATCTGGTATAATATTGAAAGGGTGGAATCCAGGGTGAAAAGTCCACCATTTTTGTATCATGCTCCTTTTGATTTTGTCGATTTGGGGAACAAAAAACAGTAAAAAAAATAATTATTGAATAAATAATTAGTATTAATTAATTAATTAATCATTACAAACAAATATTTAATTAAATTTTACGTATTATATACTTAAAATTATAATCAATCGGGAAAAAAATCAAGGGCTTTGAGGGGGGGGGGCCCGGACCCCTAGGACACCACCCTTGTGTGCGCCACTGATAAGAATAATATATAGAAGATATATAAAACTTGGTTGCTGATCGCCGTGTGATATCGGTAAGCGATAGATTATTAAAGTTTAATTATAGAGCGGATTCTAGCTAGTTAAGAAATCGGCTATAGATAAAGATTCGGAGGTTAATTTATCATAAAGATAGTGAGTACGATTTAATGCGCTGTTTGCTAAGAATTGTTAATTCCGTCATATCACTCCAGCTCGTTTTCCTCTAAGTAAGACTTGTGTTGTTTTGCTTAATATATATAGAGACATAATAAACTAGATTTATTATGGAAGGCTCGAATGGTCAATTTTTTATCCCTACAAATCTAGGTCGCGTGGATGAAGAGATGATACCCCCGGGCAGAGGGATATCACAAATGGATCATTTTTTAAATTTTGAAGCAACAATTACAAACTTTTGCTATTCTGAAAATCCTAAAGCAGGTTTTCTCAACGTGCTTTAACATCAAAATTTTAACCATTACAATTTTTGAGGAAGCCATATTTTTTTTTAAAAATTAAAGGAAATTCGGTAAAGAAAATAAATAAAAGAACGAGAAAATTGAAAAAAAAAAGTAAATACGTATATATAAAGTATCTTTGTAGCAGAAATGTAAGTCACGCCTTCAGGTAGTAGAATAATTTAAAATAGAAATAATTAGAATAAATAAATAGAAATAATTTTTATATAAATGTATTAATTATAATTTTTTTAACTGCTAAATTGAAAATTTCTAGCTAATGTTATGGCTACGATAATTCTCCATATTACTCTTGCTTTATTGCTAAAAAATATCTAAAGCATTTATAGTAATTATTTTATATGAAAAAAATAGAAAAGAGCCTAGTGTATAATAATTTATAGTATGTGTTAAATATAACCAGAAAATTAATTTGAACGTTTTTATGTATTTTATAATTTGATATTTTGTTCTATAATTTTGTATGCCAATTTGAATTTATATATTTTAAACTTTCCTAAAAGTTCATACTCACAAATGGTATTGTACGTGACATTTTTACAATACGCAATGAACTTCGAAATGATACAGAAGATATTTTTTTTCTTTCAAATGGGGCTGCGGATTGGTATTTATACCATTACAGACTTTGTTCATTCCCTGGGAGCTGGCATCACTTTTTAGTGGAGCACCATATAGGTTGATACGAATTTCCACAATGTAATTTTGACACCCAGTTTCCTCCCCAAAGAAAGGTATCTGAATTATGACGATACGAAATTGTATTAGGAATTTAATTTTGCCGAGAGTGCCCAAGCCAAACAGGAACTTTAGGGATCTTTAACATGCTGTATAAGAAAACGACATGGATGCAGACGATTTTTTGCATTATGAAAATCTACCGACTTGGGGCTGGGGTCGAACCTGCAAATTTGAGCAACCGCAAAACTAATTATTCCACGCACTAGGCTCCACAAATAGTATTGTACGTCACATTTTTACAATAATCAATAAATTTTGAAATGATACAGAAGATGTACTTTATATATTTTTATCTTAGTTTATTGTTTCCATTTTTGTAAAAATATAAGTAGAAATTTGGAATTCTACTCAGATTTTATGTAAATCTTAGCCTATCAAATTTTATAGAAAATAACATATTTTTGTCCTTTTCACATAAACTGTTTTATTGCTATCATTCATCACACACCATTCCTATCAAGCGTTACTTTAAAGCATATTAGGCAGCGAGAAATTGTTTTACATAATGTTATCAACAAGAAAGAAAATATAACAACGCGGGGATCCCTCGACAGACTGTTCAAACCCAATATTCTGAGGATCCATGGCCCTCAGGTTTCGAACTCCAATTACTTCCCGAATGGAAAGAAAGCAGAAAGAAAGTACCAAATCTTAAATACCGCAACACGATTATCGTCGCAATCTAGAACTTAACTTTTATCCTTTTCCAAGAGCTCTTTTTTAAAAAAGAAGGGTTTGTGGAACCAGATCATCACGCAAAGGTCGAAGGATAGTTTTAAGTTATTATTTGTTTAAAATTAAATCCCCCGCTGGAATTCATATTTTTGAGTCTATTCCGTGATTTATGGAGTGGCCCAGCTCGGTTCTATATCTTTACAGGCTGACGCTGCACGCTTCAATTAAAATAGCTAAAATTGTTGATAAACTCCATTATTTTTCCACGTCAGAAATAGCCTCATACATCATTTCCGGCTGAAATGCATCGCCACTTTTATTTATACTTGCCAACCCGCCGTCTCTTCCCCCGCCGTTCCCAACGCAATTGCGATCTATAAATTTTCTTTCAACGGCGTAATTTATTTTTGATTGTAATTAATATGCATTTTGTTCCGCTATACTTTCCAGCAATCTCGCAAATCGCCGCGCACGCGAGCACAACAAATAAAGACGATAACAACAAACACAAAAAGCGCGAATAAAAGTTGCCTCCGCTACCAGCACAACCGGGAGGCCATTTTAATGCTTTGTTTAATTGAAATAGCTTGAACCGTAGACAAGCAAATATATTTTTATTGTCCCTCGCCGAATAACTTCTTCAAGAGTCGCAACCTGCTTTTATTCTGTTGCAGTTCTGGCGGGAATGCACGCCCGCGATAATAATATTAATAACGGCGGACATTATTTCACTTCAGAGCATGATTCCGTATCGCAGAACAAGCATTGTATACCGAATGGCCTTGACAGCAAATTAATTCTACGGATTCTCTTCCTCACCAACTTACATTAACAACCGACTTTCTTTTGTTGTTCTTTCTCTTTTTGCCTTTATTTCCTCTGGCGTGTTAATTGCTGTCTTACAGGAAAGATGGTGCAAGTCCGCTTTGTATTTTTGCATCGGCCCCTTTCGGATGCTATTGTTTCGGAACGGTACCGAAAGAAAAGTGCTGTGTGACACGTAGGCATGCAATGAAATCCAAATCTCAATTATATTAATCAATTATATTAAAAAAACAATATTGACTTTGAAGAAAAATTTATGTGATTTTGTGTCAAAGATTTGAAAATCATTGCTCTAAATGAGGAATTATATACCATTAAACGCGCACCGGCGCGCATTTTTCAATTCCTACTATAGAGTTCACAACTTTACTATATATATTTTTTTACACACACACACACACATATATATATATCTTCAAATTTTCAATTGTTAATAAAATACTTTTTATTCATCCACTCACAAGTTCAAATACATACATTTTTTAAAATTTGTAGTGGATGACACTTGATGTTAATACAGTTTTCTCAAATATTGATTCATTAATTTTTAACTAATGAATAAATAGTAACTAATAAAAAATAATAGTCCTACACCATATATAAAAAGTAAAATTGCTTGTTGCATCCCTGTAGCGCAATGGACAGCGCGTTGGACTTTTAATCCAAAGGTTGTGAGTTGGAATCGCGCTAGAAATGGCCTAATTTCTGAGAGCGTGATTTCTTTTTACTATATATTATTTTATTGGAATAATTAAATTTAATCAATGAATAAATAGTAACAAATAAAAATAATAGTCCAACACCCTACATAGAAAAAAAAATCGCTCTCTATTTTGCCACTTAATATTGTGATTCTGTCATATGTATATACATATTTATATTAATTGTAATTATTTAATAAAAAGTAACTAAAATAAAAATTTTCTTTGCTGACCGAAGTAAGAATTGACTTTAAAATTTTCTTTATATTACTTGTTTAATTTTTAGGTATATTTGCCGATTACGCCTCCCCCTAAAATAAACATATGCAATGCTCTTACGTTTTGAAGTCATTTATATTCAAGGTACTATCCCTGGCTTTTGAAAAAATAGCATACATCTAGAACTACAACTCTTGAATCTCATAAAAATGTCTCATTTCTTTTAAATAAACAGCATTTCGATAAATGTAGAAGTTTAATTTTTTTTTATATGCTGATCTTTTTATTTATTTATTTATTTTTAAGGCTATCATTTTTATATCCGGCGTATAACACGCACCTGTAAATTTCGATCCTTTTTTTTATGTTAAAAGTTTGCGTTATTAGCCAGTTTGTACGATAGGTACATATCCAATATTTCACAAATAGGGCTAAGACAAAGAAAAATTAAATGAACATTTTGTAATAGTTTATCCCACTAAGTTTCCCTCTTGGAACCTAATTAAGAATTTTCTCTGATGTTATTAAGGTTCAATATCCACCTTCTTACATTAGAAATATATGTTAATGAGATTGATAATATAAAGCGAATTAAAGTAGATATTAGGGGAAAGGCTAGTAACAATGAACATAACATTTTTATACCCTGCGTATTACGAGGATCTCTAAATTTCGATCTTATTTTTGTGTTAAAAGTACGCTTTATACGACAAATTTTATTGTGTATACACACATATATATACACACATATTATATACATATATTTATATGAATGGGGGTATACATAGAGAGATAGATAAATTGAAGTTTTTGATAATAATAAAAATATCAACATTGAGAAATCTATTACTTCATGCATAAAATCGATTGTATATACAGCTAATTTCCTCCAATTATAATGCTTTATTACTTTCTTTATAACATTCACTTCAGACACTACGACAGACATTCAAACATTTTATCATTATTTATTAGAAAATAGTAGCACAATTTTTACAACATTTATCCTCAGTCTGCTGCATTTTTCCTCCTTTCCTAATAGCTCTGAATTCAGATTTCATATTCCGATATTTTGCATTGATATTTTGCAAATGTGCACTTATTTAATATCTTGACGGGTGTTTTTTATATTTTTCTCCTAAAAAGTACAATATATATATATTCTTCGAGTCTTTCATTTACCCAAGAGCCCATTAAGATTTATGAAATTTATTTATACCTTTTTTATATTCATGACAATTCATTTTATTTCATTAGTCCTTTAAGAAAAGGGGGGGGGGGGCCACCCAACACTTTTTTTCTGATCTATATTGTTCAATATTTATCGATAAAGCTTATGTTGAAGTTAAAAATAATCGTTCATCAAAATTTATCACAAGTTACATTTAAATATCAAAAAAATACAGAAAAAATTTATATATTTTATTTTTTATTCATTGTACTTTTTTTGTATCTATTTCTTAATTTGAACCAAGAAAAGATAAATTAATTATAAAAATTAGTTATCAATTATCTCTCATTATATATAAGCATTTATTGTGTTACCGAGGACACTTCTATTAATAACATTGTTAGTTTATATTAAATAATTTCTGATTTCCTTTTTTAGTAATTTATGCCTTTATTCTAATGATTATAAAACCTTTGATTTGATATACCTGAAGAAAACAATTATAATAATCGAATTTGGAGTGAATGATGAAGTTTTAAGTATTTATATCTAGATAACCTTCATATATTATTTAGAGAATATGAAAAGTAACAATCACAAGATAGGAAATGAAAAATAGATTCTTTTAAGAAAAAAAAAATTATATATTTTTTTTTGACTCTACAATATCCTCGTTTTTTCGAGCATGAAAATCCATAAATTTCGATGGTATATATATATAAGAAAACTAATTATTACAAAATCGCATGAACTAAATCTTTTTGCCAAAGGACCTAAATATATATCGAGAGGGAATAATAAGTGGGAGGACCGCTTAGATACAGACTCAAAAAAGTAAGACTTCTCTCCTCCTCCTCTTTTTCTTTTCAATTCCAACTTATTACTACCTCTCTAGCTATTAGTTCACACTCTCCCTATATATATATATATATATCTGATATGTTTTGAGAAAGAATCAGACTTAATTTTAAAAAGGAACTTTATTCAATGATTTCTAGACATCATGTGACGCTAAGAGCAGAGAGAAAAAACACGCCACCATGAAATCTTAAGTAGAGAATAAAAATTATAAAATGGATGCTACAGTGTTATAAACATTGCTGACTTAGGACAGCTAATATATAAAATAATTTATATAAAAGTGGGGTTGAACATGTTTTTGGGCCAGCCAACCTTCCCCCTTTATGTAAATAATACTGAGCAAAAACCAATTGAAAATAATGGATAGGAATATCTAAATCCATTACAAGATAGAGGTAATTTACCTAAAAATTGCACTTACAAATGCAAAGCCCGCGCTAAATCTGAGTGCAATAAATAAGTTATTGCCAGATTCTGGACCCTAATGCAGATTCAAAGCATGTTAATGGCTGAAATGTAGCACTTAACAAAAGTATAAAAAGAATAGAAATAAAAATTAAAAAGAGAGTTACAAATTACCATAACTTTTTAGTGACACTATAGTATATATGAATTAAATAATAATAAGTAATTTTACCTAATATTAGAAAATGGTGGTAACTATAACTAGATAATATGTAAATTTATAGCAATAAACTATTATCTAAGAATTTTTAATCCTTACTATTTCGAATAGCTTTATTCATATAATTATTAATAAAATTAATTGGGTATTTTGATTTAAGCAATATTTAGTAAAATGTTTTTAGTTATTTATTATTTCTGATTTTTTTGACACTAGAAATTTATTGCGTTGTATATAATTAATAACAATATTTCTTAATATAGAAACATGTTCATTACTCTCCCAATGAGGAGCTTTTAAAATATTGAAATTAAATTCTCTTTTATCATGAATATTAGAAACTATTACTTTATTTTTTAATTTGATATGTATATTAAAAAAATTAAGTGAATTCCTACTTGGGTCAACAAAGAAAATTTTTATTTTAGTTACACTTTGCTAAATAGTTACAATTAATATAAATATGTATATACATATGACAGAATCACAATATTAAGGGACGAAGTATAGAAAGCGATTTTCTTCGCAATTTCCCATTCTATGTAGGGTGTTGAACTTTTTTTCTTTTGTTGTTGCTATTTATTCATTAATTAAATTTAATTATTATTTTAATAAAATAGTATAGTAAGAAAGAAATCATACTCTCAGAAATTAGGCTATCCAGTTATATTTCTCGTACCCACGACCTTTGGAATAGAAGTCCAACGCGCTAGCCATTGCACTACAGGGACACAGCGAACGATTTTCTTTTCTATATATGCTGTTGGACTATTAATTTTTGTTTATTATTTATTCATTTTTTTTAATTAATGAATTTTAATATTTGAAGAACTGTATTAACTTCAAGTGTCTTTCAATACCAAGGGGTGTTCAGTAATTATTGTCAGCCATGTTGACAACTTATAATACTGATTTGTAATTTATATCACTCATCATGTATGGTGTTGCATTTTAGATGGCCGGCAGTCCAGCTAGCAGCAAAAGACATAACCTGTTTTGAAAAATACCGATTGAAATATTGATTTATTGTTTCTTAATGTCGTACCCAGAAGCAATACGAGGAGTTATTGGCAATGGAATTCTAAGTCTGAGTGACAAGGATGATGAGATGACAAGGATTTTGAAAAGGGTCTAGTGACAAGGATGACATCTGAGCTGGTAATTGATACCTGAGCTCTAAATTTTCCTCTACTCAGCCTACTAGAGGACTTTGACAGATTCATCAGCTCCTCTATATAGGAGTTTGCTTTTAGTGGCATAAAGACTTGAGCCCATGACTCGATTCTTCGCCACTACCGCAATATGTATAATATTTTCTGGAACCCCTTAGTATCATATTCTGAGGCGACACGAGAGCTATGGTGACGAACCTCGAAATTTCGAACCACATTTAAGAGACGAGTATGACATCTCTCTGAGCTGGCACCTCAATCTCCTTACTTTCACACTTCGTCAACGTGAGGACTTTGATCCGTAACAGGTTTAACGTGCATCATCTTCTCTGTACACACTTATATATATTGTTTCGAAAAGAACACATGGGTTTTTTGACAACTAAGTTTTTATGCATACATAAAGACTGTATTTTTTATATTTGGTTTTGGGTTGTATAGTTTTTTCAATTATTGTTAAATCAATACATTTTAGTTTAGGTCTCGAATGATGGATAAAGATCGAGAATGTTCGGGCTATGACCATAAAAAAATGAAACAGGAGTGGAATTTTGAGTTTAGTTGAAGTTTGTACAGAGACAATACTAGTTGTGTTAAATTTTATATACGAATGTACAAAGTAAAAATAAACAAAGACTAAATGAGAAGTAGAATATTGTTAAATTATAATTTAATTATTTTTAGACAGTCACTTACACACACACAAACACATATACATATAAATATGAATGTATGAAGAATTTATTAAATGTTAATGTTAGAAAAATAAAATAATAGGACATAAAGCGTTTGACACACAGTAAGTAATATTCATAAAAATGTTATTTGTATTTAGATTCCTTAATAATTTAAATTTAATTAATTTTTTTTTCTTTTACTAAATAAAAGAAGAAGAAAAAAACATCGGTCCCTTATTTTTTTAAAAATTGGTTTTAAAATAATAAGCA